ACCGGGCAGGCTGGGAGCGGCATAGTCGCTCGGGGACGCGGGCACAGCGGCTCGGGCCCTTGGCTCACCTGGGACGCGGAGGACACAGCCCTGCCCCTCACCGGGAGGACCAGCAGGAAGCACAGCCTGGAGGGAGGGCAGCGGCCGAGCAGAGACCCGTAGGATTCCCAGCAGGACCCTGGGATGGCGCAGGCCGAGATGATGGAGGGAGAGGAGGCAGCCCTCAGCGAGGGGAAACCAGGGCGGGTTGCCTGGAGGAGGTGGCTTTTGAGCAGAGCCTTGTAGGAAAGGGGAGAATCTGGGAATGCAAAGGGGCCGATGGCATTCCTAGGGGAGGGGCAGCGTGGGCCCAGGCCTGGCGCGTGGGGGTGGGGGTGGCCACACACCAGGAAGGAGGTCAGGAGGCAGCGCCCTGGACACGGGGTGCGGCCTGGCCTGCCTGGAGCCCTCCCTCCTCCTCCTCCCGTCTATGAGGGGGTGACGTGGCGCCCCTCCCCGGGCTGGGTGAGGCAGCAGGTGCACCAGCAGGTGCCGGAGCACCCTGGGCTCCCCCCGCTCCACCCCTCCCACACTGTGCCAGCTACGTCGGGGGAAGGCAGCTTGCAGTCCTCAGGGGCTCCCCAGGAGCCGGCTCCCCACCGGGGACACCAGCTGGGGGTGACATCAGGCCGGCCTGCCCCAGGCCACGGCCCCACCCGCTGGAGCAGTCGCTTAGCCCAGCGGCCACGCGGGAGTCCCCTGGCTGCCGCGCGCTGGGCTCATCTGCCGTCAGCACCACGCCCACCGGGCTCTCGGCCTGTCCTCCCTTGAGACTTGCTCTGTGTTTGGGGGCACTGGCTTAACTTCTCTGGGCCCCCACTGCCTCTCCAGGACAAGGCGTCCTTCTGCAGGGCCAGGCTGGGCCTTGTCCCTGCTCACACCCACCTGCTGTCTGGTCCAGGGTGGCCGTGGGGAGGGGAGGGTGAAGTGGGCAGCCCTGAGCGAGCCTGCGCACGCGTCAGCCGGCCATGGGGAGGGTGTCACCTGCCCCCTCCCCCCGCCTGGGGAACACATGCTGGAGCTGCACCCGTGAGGACCCCCAACCCAGCTGGCCGTGTGGACCCCGACCCAGGCCGAGCAGGCCTGCAGGTGGGCACAGGGCACCCAGAAAAGCCCGCCATGGGGGACGCGCTGCCACAGACGAGCCTGAGCCCTTAGAGTGCACGGCCAGACCCTGCCCCTAGGCCCTGTACCCTCGCCCACCCCACCGCCTGGCAGGCGGCAGGAGCCCGCTGGGTCCCAGCAGGGGGCCTTCCCACCCCCCCCCCCCCGCCAGTGCTGCGCTCCCTGGGTGCCCTCGTGCTCGGGCCGCCCGGGTCCTCGCCTGCGCTCTGGGACAGGGAACCTGCCTGGTGTCTCCCCGCCCCGCCTGTGTCTGAGTCCAGCTCCCCGGGAATGGGCTGCCCAGAGGGGAGGGCCTCCGGCCAGCGTCACAGCCTCGCTGAGCCCCCTCCTCACTTGGGCCCTGCTGGAAGGGGAGGAGGGTCCTGGGTCTCTCTGGGCCCTGGCAGGCCCAGCACCTGCCGCTCTTCAGGGGCTTCCCAGGGGCAAGGAGGGAACCGAGAAGCACACACAGACACAGACCGCACACGCACACGCACAGAGCTGCACACACACAACACAGGTACACATGCATGCATGCCCACACCTACACAGTACACACATGCATGATGCACACATCACAGACACCACACATACATGCACACACAGAGCTGCACATGTGCACACAGACAACACATGTACACACATGCACACATGCCCACACCTACACAGTACACACACACATAGTTCACACATCAGACACCACACACACACAGAGCTGCACACATGCACAGAAACAATACAGGCATGATGCACACATCACAAACACCACACATACACACACAGAGTTGCACACGTGCACACAAACAACACATGTACACATGCCCACACCTACACAGTACACACATGCATGGTTCACACGTCAGACACCACACACATACACACAGAATTGCACACACACAACACATGCATGCATGCCCACACCTACACAGTACACACATGCATGGTTCACACATCACAGACACCACACATGCATACACACAGAGCTGCACACGTGCACACAAACAACACATGTACACATGCCCACACCTACACAGTACACACATGCATGGTTCACACGTCAGACACCACACACATACACACAGAATTGCACACACACAACACATGTATGCATGCCCACACCTACACAGTACACACATGCATGGTTCACACGTCACAGACACCACACATGCATACACACAGAGCTGCACACGTGCACACAAACAACACATGTACACACGCATGCATGCCCACACCTACACAATACACACATGCATGATATACACATCACAGACACCACACACGCATATACACAGAGATGCACACGAGCACATAAATAATACACACATACATGATGCACACATCACAGACACTACACATGCACACACATAGAACTGCACACATGCACACAAACACATATACACACATACATGCATGCCCACACCTACACAGTACACACATGTATGATATACACATCACAGACACCACACACAGAGCTGCACACATGCACACAAACCACACACACATACATGCATAATATATGCATCATAGACACTGCACATGCACACACAAAGGTGCACACATGCACATGAACACATACACACGTGTGTATGTACATGCATGCCCAAACCTACACAGTACACACACATCACAGACACTACACACACACGTGTACATACAGGCACGTGCATGAACACAATACAGCACACGTGCCTATACATACACATCACACACATAACACATACACACTGCATGATGCATACACGCACACATGTACAGCACACATATGATATACACAATGCACATGCGCACACCCATACATATGCACACGATAGACACACCTACAAATGCACAGACAACATAAACACGCATGTAACACATGTGCATGTGTATCCGATACACACGCATGCGCCACACTGAGGTTAGGGCCAGGGTGAGGTGTCTTCACCCGGCAGTCACACAGCAGGGCTCCCTGGGCCCCCGGACCCAGGAGGGGCCCCCAGCACGCAGCGCCTGGCTCTGGCTGCTCCCAGGCCCTGGCAGCCCCACTCCCATCCTGTGTCCCCCCGACCACCAGCCAGGGACAGCCCTGCTCCCCGGGTGGGGGCCAGGGAAGGGTGCGCCATCCCATTTTACAGACATGGAAACTGAGGCTGCAGCAGGCAGGGCTTGGCTTGCTACCCTGGCACGGTGGCACCGCCCACGTGACACAGACCCAGTGCCCAGCCCAGGCCCTCGGGCGTGGAGGGCAGTGGAGGTGGGCGTGGCCTGTGGTCTCTGCTGAGTGTGCGAAGCCAGGGGCCAGCGGCTGGACGTGCGGGTGTGGTGCCCAGGAGGCCCCCGCTGCAGACGGTGGCCCGGCAGAGGGTCAGCGCGTGTCCAGGATGGGGAGACAGGTGCGGGACACACGGGGAGGGCCTGGGTGCTGAGGAGGGGGCTGTGATGTGACGGCTGTGGTGGGGACACGGGGAGGGGATGGGACTGGGGGGCCGCAGAGGCGTGTGCAGGCGCCGCCCCCGGCCGGTGGGCAGGTGCAGGTTCAGGGCCGGGGGCGTGGCCAGCGCAGGGACCGGTCGTGTGGGAGCTGGGCATGAGGGCTGGGCGCGTGGGAGTTGCACAGTCTGCCGTGGGTGACCTGAGGCCATGGGGAGCTGCTGCCCCTCTGGGGGGTGGAGGGTCCCCTGCAGCCAGCCCGCCACCCCGTCACTGCGGCTCCCCGGCACAGGGGGCCCCATTAGTCTTTGTCCCGGCTGTGAGGGCCCAGGCCCAGGGCTGGCCAGGGAGGCGGGGGTCTGACGGACGGGTGTGTGGTTGGGTGTTCGGGCTGGGCGACAGGTCCCAGGGAGGGAGTGTGGGTGGCTGGGGTGAGGGACGAGGACTCAGGACTGAGGTGGCCATGAGGGTGGGCAGACGGGCAGGCCACGCCCTCACTCTGTCCTTGGACACAGAGCTGCCTGTGGCCTGTGACCAAGAGCTCCACAGGGAACAGCCGACCTCTGGGGCAGCCCCGGCTCTGCCTGTTGGGGAGTCACAGGGCACCCACCAGGAAGCAGCCGGGGGCAGTGGGACAACCACGGAGGGCTGCCTGGAGGAAGCAACACCTGAGTCTGGCTGGAGCAGCACAGACTGCGCCATGCGGGCAGCCGGCGGACCTGTGTGGGCAGTCACGTGTGGCACCCGGCCTCCGTGCCCCGACTCGCTGGCTGTGCCACATCCTGTGTGGGGCCTCTGGGGGAGCCGCCGCCCCTGCCCGGGGAAGCCCCTCTATTTGTAGTTATTGGTAGCGCGGAGCCGGGGGCGGGGTCCAGGAGTGCTCAGGGGCAGCTGCTGGGCTGCCCATGCGGTGTGGGCTGCTCACAGGGCCAGGGGCTGGGGAGGACCCCGCCCGCCTCGTCCCCTCGCTGGGGCTCAGGCCCGGGGGTCCTGACCGAGCTCCCCCAGCACGCTGGGCTCCTGGGCCCTGCGTCTCCACCATCGTGGCGCCCACAGCTCCTGCCCGGCCCGGCCCCTGCCCGGCTTCAGTCCCCCCGCGTCGGCCGGCCCAGAGGGGGTGTGCTGCATCCCAGGGAGCCCCAGTCTGTGGGCAAAGTGGAGTCTGAAGATGCCCGTCTCAGCCCCTGAGGGCTTCCTGGAGGAGGAGGACTTGAATGGGCCGGGGCTTTGCAGTCTCCACGCACCGTGCAGAAGCCACTTGGGCATGGCCTGGCACCGGCTCTGCCCTGGGCGCAGAGAGGTGACCCGTGTGCTGGGCCACAGCCCGCAGCGGGGAGAGACTGGCCGCTCTGGGCCCCCGCGTCCCCCCTGCCGCTGTGGGGCGCCCCCGCGGGCCGGCCGGGTTCTGGGCGGCTGAGCGCCGCGGCCGCCCCCGCCTGTCGTTGCAGCGCGCTGCAGGAGCAGAGGGGCGAGCTGCGCAAGCGGCTGTCCTACACCACGCACAAGCTGGAGAGGCTGGAGACCGAGTTCGACTCCACCCGCCACTACCTGGAGATCGAGCTGCGCCGCGCGCAGGAGGAGCTGGAGAAAGTCACGGAGAAGCTGCGCAGGTGCGCGCCGCGCCGCGCCGCGCCGCCCCCCACCCCGCCCGCCCACCGCCCCAGACGCCCGGGGCAGCCGAGGCTCCCAGCTCCTCCTGCGGAGGCTGATGTGCGCGCTGCCCGGGGGCCGGCGCCCGCGGGGGCAGCGACCCCGTGGACACCAGCTCGGCCCCGGCGCTGCCGCTGGCTGCCTGAGGCACCCCCAGCTGAGCTTCCGCTCCGGCGGGTGGGGCGGTCACACCGTCCCCGCCCGGCCAAGCTCGCCCCCCGCCCCCCGCCCCGGCCGGCCCGCGGTGCCCCAGGCCCTCAGGCCGCGGCCCAGCCCGCAGTCGGTTTGCAGCTGCCCCTGCGAACTTGCAAGTGGAAACCCCTGGCCTTCCCTTCCCGTCTCCACCGGGGCCTGCAGTGGGGTCCGGGAAAAGACCCCGGGGGAGCTGGGAGGCTGAGCGCACCTGCGGCGGGGCGGGGCTGGTGGGGGCGGGGCTGGTGGGGGGCGGGGCCCGGCGCAGCCCTGACCGCGCTGCCTCCCGCCCCAGGATCCAGAGCAACTACATGGCGCTGCAGCGGATCAACCAGGAGCTGGAAGACAAGCTGTACCGCATGGTGAGGGCCGGCCGCGGCTCTGGGGGCCTGGGGAGGAGGCAGCCTCGCTGCCCAGCCCTGGCCGGTTCTGGGGCCGGCTCTCAGGACCCTGTCTCCTGACACCTCCAGGGCTGAGCAGGCTGAGGGTGCAGTGGGCCCAGGGCTGCTGGCGGGGCACTAGCAGCAGGCGCAAGCACCCCAGGCTGGGGCTGTGGGGCGGGGGGGGACCGGCGCCCTGGGTGAGCCCGACCCCGGGTCTCCTGCCCGCGTGGGTGTGGCGGCGCCCGTCATGTCACCTGCAGAGGCCCCAGCTGATGGGGCTGAGGGACCCCAGCCTGGAGGCCAGGGCTGGTGGCTGGGGCATCCTGGCTGCTGCTGACGTCAGAGGAGGTGCAGGTCTGTGGCGCCGCCCTGGCGTCAGGATAAGGAAGCCTCTGACTGCCTGGTTTGGTCGCAGGCTTGTTTTGTTTCTGAAACTCAGAAGTGGGCGTCGGTTCCCTGCGCCGGGGGAGGCGGGGCGGGCGCAGGTGCGTGGAGCGCCTGAGCAGGTGCCATCCCCCAGCCGCGGAGAAGCCGAGGCTCGGGCGGCACCTTGGCCCCCTGGGACCCTGGCCGACCACCTCCTCCCCCGCCCCCGCCCCCAGGGCCAGCACTATGAGGAAGAGAAGCGGGCCCTGAGCCACGAGATCGTGGCCCTCAACAGCCACCTGCTGGAGGCCAAGGTCACCATCGACAAGCTGTCGGAGGACAACGTGAGTCAGGGCGGCTCTGCCTCTCGGGGCTCTGAGGCCTTGGGGGACGGGTGGGGCACAGGGCAGGGCCTCCCTGGGGCAGGACCCGTGTTGGGGAACACGAGGCCTTGTTACCCCACGCGGGGTCAGGACGCCCGCTGTTGGCCAGCTCCTGTGTCGCGTCAGAGCTGCGTGGCCCTGTGAGATGGGCCCAGCCCCCCCCACTCCTGACGGCTGGCCACGCGCTCCGTCAGTAGCGCCTGCTCCCTGCGTGCGAGCCACCCTGGCAGGTGAGGTGGGGAACACGGTCGCATGGCGGACCCCCAGGCGGTGCAGCGGGTGGGCACCTGGGCCGGCACCGTTCCCCAGGGGGCTGCTTGCACCAGGTCTGAAGGCGGTGAGGGAGGGAGGCGCTGGGCTGCCGAGACGGTGGGTGGGCGCCCCTGGGGCTGGGCTGCAGCCTGAGAGCTGGGCGCCACTGCAGGTGTGTGAGCTGAGCAGCCAGTGAGCATGGGCCCGCGGGGGGCAGGGTGGGGGTCAGCCCGCGGGCGCAGGCTGTGTGAGGACAGGCGGGCAGGCTGCTGTGAGGACAGGCGGGCAGGGTGGGGGCTCAGCCCGCGGGGGGCAGGGTGGTGTGGCTAAGCTCACGGGGGGGCAGGGTGGTGGGCTCAGCCCGCGGGGGCGCAGGGTGGTGTCGCTCAGCTCGCGGGGGCGCAGGGTGGTGGGCTCAGCCCGCGGGGGCGCAGGGTGGTGTGGCTAAGCTCACGGGGGCGCAGGGTGGTGTGGCTCAGCCCACGGGGGCGCAGGGTGGTGTGGCTCAGCCCACGGGGGGGCAGGGTGGTGGGCTCAGCCCGCGGGGGGGCAGGGTGGTGTGGCTAAGCTCACGGGGGGGCAGGGTGGTGTGGCTCAGCCCACGGGGGCGCAGGGTGGTGTGGCTCAGCCCACGGGGGTCTTGGGGTCTGGGGTCCTGGAGGTTGGTGCCAAGGGGGCAGAGGAAGGGGAGCGTGGGTCCCTGGCCAGCTGGCCGTGGGCGGAGCGTGGCCACGTCACCACGAATGCTGGTGGCCTGGTGGCTCATGGGGTCTGCGGGCAGGACCCCAGGCCTGGGGGCTCCTGGGCGGGTGGGAAGGGAAGATCCAGCCACAGGCACATGCAACAGAGATTTCCAGAGACCAACGTAAACCCTTGCATTCCTACTGTTTGCATCTGTTTTCCGCTCAGGAGGCTGAGCCAGTCCCCGCCAGGACCTGGGGGTCACTCACCTGCCCCAGCCCCTGCCCAGCCACACAGCCAGCTCCGTGGCCAGGACACGCTGAGAAAGGGGCACGCGTGGCGGGCCCGAGATACGCCCGGCACTGGAGGGCTCTGGCAGGCTGGGGCCAGGGAGACCAGGCCCCCGTTCCACCACCGTGCCCTGTCCCCCCGTAACGGGTTCCCACCTCTGCAGGGCCCACAGGCCCCCGCGTGGGGCGGCTGCAGCCCTGCCTACCCCCAGCAGCTCCAGGTCAGGGTAAGGCCCGTTCTGCAGGCGAGAGCGTGAAGCAGCCGGGGTGGACGGAGCCCCCGCCAGCCCGCGGCCCCGCCAGAGGGCCCCTCGGTGCGGGCGGGCCGCGCCCAACGCCGTCTCTTGTCTTTTAGGAGCTCTATAGGAAGGACTGCAATCTAGCGGCCCAGCTGCTGCAGTGCAGCCAGACCTACGGCGGGGTCCATAAGGTGTCCGAGGTAACGTGGGCCCCGCCCCGCAGCCAGGCCCCGCCCCCGCCCCACCCGCGGCCGTCCCTGCCCTTGAGGAGGAAGCTGCTGGGTGAGCCTGGGCCCCTCAGCCCCTCCTGGACCCGCCTGCCGCACGGCCTCTGGGCCTGCCGGGCTGCCCGGTGCCCCCCTTTTCCGGGGGCTGAGCCCAGGCTCCGCCCCCCGTCCTCCAGGGTGCACTTCGCGGCGGCCCACGATCGGCAGTGTCCGACTCAGAGACAGGAAAGCTGCCTTCAGCAAGGGGGCTTTGGCCACGGCCGTGGGGTGAACAGGCAGCAGAGGCAGGGCTCCGACCAGGCAGAGCCCCCCGCCCGCGTGTGGCAGCCTACACAGGCCCTAGACGCCCACCCCTGCAGGCAGGCTCCCTCCTGGGCCTCGTCTGCATCCCCCGCCCTGGGCCTCGGCCACACCTAAGACACGCACAAAATAGATCAAACAGTAGTGGGACGGCCCCCCTCCCCGCACCGTGGCCAGGCCCTGGTGCGGAGGCCGTGGGGCGCCTGGCCCTGGCCCGTCGATCTTTGTTGCATGTGTTTCTGAGTCTGTCTCGTTCCGGGCACCCGGGCAGTGTGCCTGGGGCCGGGGCGCCAGCAGAGCCCACAGGCCTGGGGGAGGAGCCGAGCGCCCGTGGGGCGGGCCGGCGGGCAGGCTTCCGGCTCGTCTGGCCCGTGGCAGCCTCTGGGCTCTGCTGGGCCCCGCTGGCGTGGGGCGGGGTGGGTGGAAGTGTCCGGCGGGCCCCCGCAAGGGCTGCCACTGTGTGAAGTGAGAAGCCCGGGCGGGTCCCGTCCGTCCGTCTGTCCGTCTGTCCGTCTGTCGTGTGGGTCACGTCCGTCACCGTGGTCCTCGGCCGCGCGCTGACTGCGACTCCTGCTCGCGCCCGTTCCAGCTGCCCTCGGACTTCCAGGAGCGCGTGAGCCTGCACCTGGAGAAACACGGCTGCAGCCTGCCCGCCCCGCTCTGCCACCCGGCCTACGCCGACAGCGTCCCCACCTGCGTCATCGCCAAGGTGCTGGAGAAGCCCGACCCCGCCGCCCTCTCCTCCCGCCTGTCTGACGCCTCGGCGCGCGACCTGGCCTTCCGCGACGGGGCCGAGAAGCCGGGCGCGCGGCCCCCCTACAAGGGCGACATCTACTGCAGCGACACGGCCCTCTACTGCCCCGAGGAGCGGCGGCGGGACCGGCGGCCCAGCGTGGACGCGCCCGTGACCGACGTGGGCTTCCTGCGCGCCCAGAACTCCACCGACAGCGCGGCCGAGGAGGAGGAGGAGGCCGAGGCGGCCGCCTTCCCCCCGGGCTTCCGGCGCGAGGCCTTCGCGGGCTACGCGGGCTCGCTGCCCACGTCCAGCTCCTACTCGAGTTTCAGTGCCACGTCGGAGGAGAAGGAGCACGCGCAGGCCAGCACGCTGACCGCCTCGCAGCAGGCCATCTACCTGAACAGCCGCGACGAGCTGTTCGACCGCAAGCCGCCCGCCGCCGCGGCCGCCGCCGCCTACGAGGGCAGCCCTCGCTTTGCCAAGGCCACGGCCGCCGTGGTGGCCCCACTGGAGGCCGAGGTGGCCCCGGGCTTTGGGCGGACCGTGTCCCCGTACCCGGCCGAGCCCTTCCGCTTCCCGGCCTCCCCTGGTCCCCAGCAGGCCCTGATGCCCCCAAACCTGTGGAGCCTGCGGGCCAAGCCAGGGGCCGCGCGGCTCTCCGGGGAGGACGTCCGGGGCCAGTGGCGGCCCCTGAGCGTGGAGGACATCGGCGCCTACTCCTACCCGGCCGGCACCGCGGGCCGCGCCTCGCCCTGCAGCTTCTCCGAACGCTACTACAGCGGGGGCGGCGGGGGCAGCCCGGGCAAGAAGGCCGAGGGCCGCGCCAGCCCCCTCTACGCCAGCTACAAGGCCGACAGCTTCTCCGAGGGTGACGACCTCTCCCAGGGTCACCTGGCCGAGCCCTGCTTCCTGCGGCCGGCCGGCGACCTGAGCCTCAGCCCCGGCCGCACTGCCGACCCCCTCCCCGGCTACGCACCCAGCGAGGGGGATGGCGACAGGCTCGGGGTGCAGTTGTGCGGGGCCGGCAGCAGCCCCGAGCCCGAGCCCGGCTCCAGGGACTCCGTGGAGCCCAGCTCCATGGAGGCCTCCCCAGAGCTGCACCCGGCCGCGCGCCTCAGCCCCCAGCAGGCATTTCCGCGGACTGGCGGCTCGGGGCTGAGCCGCAAAGACAGCCTCACCAAGGCCCAGCTGTACGGCACCCTGCTCAACTGACCACCCGCCGTGGCCGTGGCCATGGCCGTGGCTGTGGGGGCTGCGCCTTGGCGCTCCCCAGGCCCTGCAAGGACCAGGGCCCCTTCCTCCCCGGCAACCCCTCTTCCCCCCACGCCCAACCCCGCAGAGGCTGAGCGGAGGCCCCCACCCCCGCCGTGGAACTTCCACCGAGAGCGTCCCTCGCCGCCGCCCCCTTTTATAAGCGAAACTATTTTTATAGAGAAAAAGGGTCTTTCTTAACGCACCTCGCCGCCAGCTCCCTGACGGCAGCCGTGGCGTTTCCAACACAAAGCTCCTTTGTTTTTTGGGTGAGGCTGCACAGGGGGCCTGCCCCGGGCGGGGGACGGTGACCATACGTGGGGAGGACTCCTCCCCACAGCGAGCCAGAGACTGGGGACCCCGAGTTCTGTCCGCAGGAAGGGAACCGAAGCCACCGAGGAGACGACTGCTCTTAAACTCCCACCGCGTGGCCAGCACCCCACCCCTGAGCTCTCGGTGGCCCGGAGCCCCGAGAGGGGCCGGGGTGAGTCCCAGAACGGCCGGTGCTCCCTCCTCCCCCGCCAGCCGCCCCCGCCACCGTGGTACTCTACCTCAGACGTATGAGGCACTCCAGCCCCTGTCCCAAGCTTGCGTCCCGTCCGTGGTGCATGCGTCCTGACTGTGTTTTGCACTCATCAATAAAGACATCAGTGGAAAGCCCTCGGCTCGTTCTTGGCCCTGCTGCCCCTGGCCTGGGCTCCCTCCCTGCGGCCATGGCGGGCCCCGCCCCAGCGCTCGGGCAGGTGCCACTCTACTGGCTGCCGGTCCGCCCCTGCCTCCCTCCCTCTGCTTCCTCCTGGAGTGGACGCCTTAGGATTTCCTGAAAAAGGAAGCCCCCTGCCTCGCGCCCCATCCTGGAGGGAACGCGGTGCGCGCTTCCTCACAGCTCCCGGCGGGTGCGGCTGCCCCGTCCCTGGCTCCCTGAGGACGTCTTGTGTCCCCAGCTGTTAAGCAGCTGCTTTGTCTCTGGTTTGCTGCTGGTTCCCTGCGGTGGGTGTTGGTGTGGGTGGACCGCCTGCTGCACACTCACCAGAGTCTCGCGTCCGTCAGGCGCTGTATTTAATGCCTGGAAAATGCTCACTTTTCTAAGCATTTCCCATCCCTCTCCTGTCCTCGGGGCTGCCCGCAGGCTGCTGTGTCTGCCGCCCACTTCTCTGTCTCCCAATTCTGGCTCACCTGGCTGCAATCCACATAATGTGTCTTGCAGTTCACACACGTCTTCTGCGTCCATTCAGCTGACAAACACCGCCACTGAGTTTCTGGTCTCGGTTACGAGTTTTGCATTTCTGAGTCGCTTGGTTGTGTTACAGACCCACTGTGCTACTTTCAAGGCGTCCTGTCCCCTGAGGACAGCCATTCCACGAGCGGCACCATGTTCCTGCCCATGTCGCCAGGTTTCTTTGTGTGCCTGGCTCTTTGACAAATGCTCCTTCACGCCCCTTGCCCAGGGGGCTTTATGTCTGCTTCCTCTGACACCTTGGGGACCACCTCTACCCAGGCTCACGCCCGGAAGTTCCCCGGCCCACCCAGCTCTGTGTAGCTCCAGGTGGGCTCTGCCGCTTGTCAGGGGAGCAGGCAGCAGCTCCCAGCTCTGCTGCCTTCACCTGCCTCTGCAGAACAGCCGAGAGCCCAGCCGGCGGCACCTTCAAGCTGGCCCAGGAAGCAGCCCCCTGAGCTGGAGAGGGCGTGGAGGGACTTGGAGGTCTCTCTCGGGCAGCAGGACAGGTGGAACCCAACTCGTCAGCCTGCCCACACAGCGACAGGGCTGTCTCTGGCCTTTGCCTTCCCCCCTGCCCAGCTCCGGCTACTGGGGATCCCTGCGGGTCAGACACCTGTGATCCTGGGCAGCAGGCCTGGGGACGCCCACAGCTTTGCAGCTTTAGCCCAGCAGTGCCTCTCAGATTTGGGGTGCTGATCCCCCAAGATGGCCTCCAGTCCTCACAGTGCCGTCTGGCCCTGGCCAGAGCCACAACTCAGGGCTGGGTGGACAGTGGCTTCTTTGTGGCAGCCTGGCGGTCCACAGGACAGGCCGACCTGGCCGTGCAGTAAAGGGCAAGGGGCTGGCGCTGCACCCCGGGTGTTAGGAAACTGGCGCAGTTTCAGCCAGGTGGCCACATGGCCCAACCGCTGTGGTCAAGCTCCACCCCGTCCTAGTGGGATTCGCTGCTCCTGCCTCCCTGCCCGCCCTCGGGCAAAGTTTTAAAAGGGCCTGACCTGACCACGGGGCTCTTGGTTCTGCTCTCGGCTCTCTCAGCTCCTCTCCTCCTCTCTCTCTCCTCTCTCTCTCTCTCTTACAGTCTCCTCTCTTTTTCCCTCTTCGCCCTTTCCCTCTGGTCCACTGAGTTTTCCCCAATAAACTCTTTCCCTTACTCCGGCGCTCGGTGTGTTTTGTGACGGCTAACACCGGGGCTTCAGCAGAGGGTCAGGCTGCCGGCCTGTGGGTGGGGCCAACCTGGGGCGCCGTGCGGGGCAGCCAGGCCTGGCCTCCTCCTGGGGAATCTCACTTTGCCCCCAAATCACCCGGGCTCAACGCTGGCTCAGTGGGACCCCGGAACCTGCAAGTGCTCCGGTGGGCGACTTTTCTCTCCCAGAATCCCCTGGGCTGGGGCCTGGTGCTTCCCCCCATCGTGTGGTGTGCCAGCTGTCCAGCCCTGTGCCTGGATCTGTCCACTAGGCTCAGGGCTCTCAGAACACGGGGCCTGTGGACATCCAGGTCGGGAGGAGCCTCACTGCACTGGGGGGAGAACGAAAGGGTCGGAAGGAGACCGCGATCGGCTCCGTAGGCGAGGAACAGTTGTCCGCCGGGGATTTCAGCGGACAGGCACAGATGTGAGACAAGTGTGGAAGCTGCTCAGGGCTCCCGGGTGCCGCGTTTCCCTCTGGGTATGTCCTGGGGTGCTCCACATTTGGACTTGTCCCAGCCACCCAGGCGAGCCACGGTGCGTGGCCCCATGGTCCCTGCTACACCAAGGACCCCACTTGGCCTTCAGTGAGGCCCCCTGTGCTGCCACGCCACGCTAACCCGTCCACGTGGTCAGTGCAGGGCTGGGCTCTGCCATCAGCAGATGGTGTCACCCTGGGCGCGTTCCAGGTCCCCTAAGAGCCGGTCTCCTCGTCTGGAGCCTGAAGACATTGATTGAAGCAGTTTCCACGGATCCCCCCGAGAGTAGGGGCCCCCTACATGGAGAGCCGGGAAGGCAGTGAGGACGGGGCCAGGTGCCAGAAGAACACAGGCTTCTGGGTCCCAGGGCCCTGGGCGCAGCGGCCTTCTGCACTGGCCAGCAGGGACCACGGCCGGCACACACGGCCTGTGCCGGCGTCTCCACGTGGAGCCGCTTTTCTCCCAGGACGGCGTCACGCAGGGCCTTGCAGATTTCAGAGGCGAGGACGCAGGTGAGCCTGAAGCCCCGGGAGGGTAGGTGGAGGGAGAGCCCACACTCCTGTTCACTCCTGCCCCACATTCTCTAAATATAGCTTTCTTATTTTAAAATTGCAAATGGTGAACTCCTGCCACCTTGCCAGGATCAAAGTCGCTCTCTGCGACTGCTCTTCGGAAGAAAGACGACGAAAGCACACCCTCGAACAAAATCCCCTCCGTGGGGCAGGGCCGGGGAGAGGCGTGAAAGCCAGAGGCGGTGCCGAGAGCAGCCTCGGGGTGGGGGGCCCCTCGTCCCAGAAAGGGGCCCCAGCTTGGAAGAGCAGTAGGCTCGGGCAGACAGGTTGGCAGGGTAACAGCCTGCATCTCCCCTGTGCGTCCCAGCAGAGGCAAAGGCCCCCCGCTTGCAGGGGTGGGCCTGGGGCCCGCGGGGCTCCCCTGGCTCCAGGTGCCGGAGTGTGTGCACGGCAAGGGCCAGCCAGGCAGCCCAGGGCACAGGGCGGCCATCCAAGTTGGTGGCCCAACTCGCCACGTGAGGGCCTGGCACTGACCGCCTCTGTGCTGAGTCTAACAGCGGAGGCAGCCGTCAGCGAGGTATGCCGTGGAGAGCTGGCTCGGACGGTCCGCACTGGAAAAGCAGAAAACCACCCAACTCAGCGGTGGCTCGTGGACTCCAGGGGCCGGGCTGGCGGCAAGGCAGGCAGAGGAGCCCTGCTCAGGGGCCCCTCCCCCGCTGTGCCTGGGCTCACCCACACACCACGCATGCACTCGACAAACACGGACTGGATGTGGGACACACACCTCTGTGAGAATACGTGCCTGGGGTCCTGGGTTTTGGGGGCACACAGCACTCTCCCTCCAGCTCTGCACAATCGTACTTCCCACCCTGCCTGGCCAGGCAGACGTGGTCTGGGTCCTTCCCTGAGACACATCGCATGGGAGCAAAGGAAGTGGGCAGCTGCTCGTCGGCGGCTTCTGCCATGACACTGACGCTGGACAAGGCCAATGCCCAGAGCGCAGGAGAGCGCCCACAGCCCCTGGCTGCCATAGCAGCGTCTGAGACCTCACCCTGGCTAACCTGGCTCAGCTCCGTTGCCAGAGGGATCCTGAGCTAAGACTCCCAGCTGCCACCCCTGAGCACCACTGCGCACATCCAGGCCAGACAGCTCCGCAGGCTCAATCACGTCGGTGCCCACAAGGCAGGTATTAGTTCCCATTTCACGGAAGGGGAAACTGAGGCACCTGGCGCTGAGCAGCAATGGGATCACAGTGGCGGCAGCCATGGGACCGCTAGGCGGGGGCGGAGAGGACACCGGACAGTCTGCACGGGTCACAGAGGCAGGGGAAGAGGCCAAGGCTGGCAGAGAGGTGGGGGAAGGAATGCCTGCCCCGTGCCAGGCCCTGACTGGGCAGGCTCCGCCACAGCTGCCCCAGTCACCCTCTTGGGCTGGTGGCAGCCCTCCACCCCACCCCCACCAGGGCCGTGCGCGCTGGGCACAAGTGTGGTATTTTCACCAAGCCGGTCATTCTCCAGGCTAAAGACAGGACCAGAAAGTGCTCCCAGTCTGAGCTCCCACCACGCCCAGCCCAGTGGCATAGGGGGTCACTGGGAGCCGGTGCCCTGCATGGGCCCTGGGACCCCACGCACCTGTCCCAGGAGGCATGGGGGAGCCCTGGGGCCATGCAGCCCACCACGTGCTCGCTCCAGCTCCCCCAGCCCAGGCCAGGGACACAGTCGGTGCTGCACCTGCTTGACAGCCACTGTGTGGGGCACCGCACGGGTCGGGGCAGGGGGTGGACGGACTGAGCCCTCTGGACAGATCTGTCTCAGCCTCTCCTCGCTGTCCCCTGCCTGGGACGGCTCGACATCCCTCGGCCCAGGGACGCCCTGGATGCCCTGAGGGGAGCACCCTCACCCCGCAGCCAGCGCCTTCCAGGCAGGGCCCACTGTGCCCAGCACCCGACCTGCCCTCCCAGTGAGCTGCAGATGAGGACACAGCGGCTGGTGGGGGGACGCCTGCCCAGGGAGCTGGGGCTGGGGCTGGGAGACTGAACTCTGTGCCCACCCTCCCCTGCCCCCCACAAAGGCCCCTGGGCCTCCTCCTCAGCCAGCCTGCTTCTCACCAGCTAGACCCCTTCCTGACAGGTCGGAGGCCTGCCTCCTCCAAGAAGCCTTCCCGGGTACCTGTGCTCCCCACCCTGAAACTGCCAGCGGGTCCTTGGGCTCCCGGCGTGGCTCCTCAGGGCTGTCTGGTAGGGTTTATTGGGTGCGAGATCTCCCCCAGACTCCTCGGGGCCCTTGTTCCACACGGTCCCTTCCCGCACCCGCCTGACAGCCGGTCACGCCGTGTGGGAGGAAGGGTGGGGCTGGCAGCCCCAAGACCATAGCCTCTCTGCCCCCCCCTCCCCTGCCCCAGGCAGCAGGGTGGGCGGGGCCGGTCCCCTCCAGCTCCCCACACGCTTTGTCCCCGGAGCCTCACCAACGGGGGCCTGGAAGCCGGGCGGAGAGGCGCTGCTGGCACTCGCTGCTGAAACGACCTGAGACACGGCAAACGCTCGCCTTTATTGGGCCGTGCCAGCCCCTGCCAGCGCTGTGGCTGACGTGGTCCCACCGTGCCTCTGCAGAGACCGGGCCGGTCAGCCTCCCCCGGCACCGGCCCGAAGTCAGCTCCGCGCTCACTCCCACCCCGCTGCCGCGGCCCGGCCGCATCAGTGCCAGATCTTGATGTCGCCGCCCCAGGAGCACGTGGCGAGGACGGAGGGCAGCACCGGGTGGTAGGTGGTGCCGACGCAGGCCTGCGTGTGGCCCTGCAGCGTGCATGCCCGGCTGGCCGTGCGGAAGCTGAACATGAGGATCCGGCCGTCGGCGCTGCCCGTCACCAGCAGGTCTCCGCACGGGGAGCACTCGCAGCCCACGGCATAGCCTTCCACCTGCGGAGAGCGACGCGGAGGGGCTGAGTGGGCTGCAGCTTCCCTTGCGGCTACCTGTGAGGCAGAGGTTGTGCCCGCTCTATAGAGGGGCAGCCTGAGGCCCAGCGTGGCCTTCACCCCAGCATCCCGGAGACCAAAGCCCGCTCCTTCCCTGCATGGGCCCTGCTTCACGAGGCTAGTTCAGGGTCGTCCAGCTGGGACCCCTCGGTCAGCCTGGCTGATGGCATCTGGCCTCCCATGGTCACCGGGTCCTGGCCCCCCCGTCCCAGCCAAGCAGGCCTCAGCCCGGGAAAGAGCAGATGTGGAAACGCCCCGCGCCCGTCCGTCCCGCTCCCACCCCAGCCCTGGGCCTGTGCCAGCCAGCTAGTGCGTGCCTGCGTGTCCAGGGGATGGACCCAGGCTCGCACCAGGCCACAGGGTGCGCGGCCACCCAGGAGACAGAGCAGAGTCCACCCAGCGGGTCCTGCACCCTGGGGTCCCATGTGCTTTCCCAGTGCTGTCCGGCGGGAGGCTCTGGGACCAGTGCCCAGCATTTGAACCGGGAGGGGCGGGGCAGGGAGCAGGCACCTTGTGTCCTTCGTAGCGCCGCCTCCTGCTCATCCGGTAAGGCCACACGGCGGAGAAGAGGGCCAGATAGTTGCCATTGGTCTGTGCCAGGAACACAGGCTCCCTGGGGTGCAAGGCCAGGCTGGGGCAGGTGTATCGCTCCTAAGACAGGACAGGACCACAGAGAGTCAGAGCAGGCCCGGGCGGCCTCCTGCCTCCGCAGACCCCTCCTAGCCCCGTTCCCGCAGCCTTGGCTTCGGGCCGTGCGTGACCACACCCCAGCGGCTGAAGCGAGCACAGATGGCTAATCTCACCGCTCCCCAGGGGAGCAATCTACGTGGGTCCCGCTGGGCTGCGCTCCTTCCTGGAGGCCGAGGGGGGATCCCGACCCTGTCCCTTTCAGCTTCTGGGACCCCTGTGTCTTCAGTGCCAGGCTAGACAATGCACCCCCATGGCCATTCACGTCTCACTTCCAGGACCCCTGAGTGCCATGGGGTCAAAGGGAGGGGCTAGGGCCAGCACTGGCGAAACGGGTGGAGCCGCCGCCTGCAGTGCCGGCATCCCACAGGGGCGCCGGTTCGAGTCCCAGCTGCTTCTCTTCCGATCCAGCTCTCTGCTGTGGCCTGGGAAAGCAGTGGAGGATGGCCCAAGTCCTTGGACCCCTGCACCCGCATGGGAGACCCGGAAGAAGCTCCTGGCTCCTGGCTTCGGGTCAGCGCAGGTCTGGCTGTTGCAACCAACTGGGGTGTGAACCAGCAGATGGAAGACCTCTCTCTCTCTCTGTCTCTGTCTCTCTGCCTCTCCTTTTCTGTGTAACTCTGACTTTTTGATAAATAAATAAATCTTTTTTTTTTAAGGGAGGAAGGGAGGGGCTGCAGGGAGAACTGAGGAGACCGCCCCCTGCTACGACCCTGAGGCATCACAGGGATGCTGTGAGAGGGACACCGGGGGCGGTGCAACGCGCAGCAGGTGACGCGAGGCCGGAGCACGAAGGGAGCTGCAGACGGCGCCCTGGCAGGTCAGCGTGGCACGGCCACGAGCCGAGGCATGGCGACGTCCCCAGAGCTAGACAAGGCAAGGGAGGGGCCGCCCATCCCTGCCCGACCTCACACCACAGGCACACGCCCTGCCGGCACCTTGGTTTCAGCCCCATAATGCTTTGTATTTATTAGGAACCGGGAGCCTGAACTGGGGGTTGAAGAAGCCACCCAGTTGACAGCAAGGTGCTACGGCCCTGCGAAGAGCACCATCTCCCCACCTCCAACCCCCACCCGCGGGAAGCCAAAGGCAAACGACGGTGGAGGCGGAACAAGAGGGTGGGACTCACGTGGCGCCCTCCACACATCCCCCTCCCGGCTGCACCTGGCCCACCGCTGCACTAAGCGGCATCCTTAAGCCACACTCTTGAAATGAGCCCAGCTGGAGAGCAACGTGGGAGTGGTGGGAACAGGTCCCACCAGGTGCAGAGGTCGCTCCCGGGTGTGGTCCCCAGCAGAGCACCTGCACACCCCACAGGGAAGCAGGGAGGGGGACGTGGGGGGCCACCAGCTCAGGCACTGGGCGCTTCCATCTGCCTCACGGCCCTGGTCTCTGCTGACGTTTGGGGGCAGGATGCCCTCAGTGCCAGACAGGCCCCTCCAGCCCCTCCTGGACCTGTTCCTCCAAAGAGAAGAAAGCGGAGGTGAGGTCTCGAGGCAGGTTGCTCAGAGAAGGCAGGGAGGAGGAGGGGGTGTGTCCACATGGCATATATATATATATATATATATATATATTAGAGATTTATTTTATTCATTTGAGAGGTAGAGCTACGGACAGAGGGAGAGACAGAGAGAAAGGTCTTCCTTCCATTGGTTCACTCCCCAAATGGCTGCAACAGCTGGAGCTGCACCAATCTGAAGCCAGGAGCTTCTTCCCAGTCTCCCATGCAGGTGCAGGGGCCCAAGGACTTGGGCCATCTTCTACTGCCTTCCCAGGCCATAGCAGAGAGCTGGATTGGAAGAGGAGCAGCTGGGACTAGAACTGGCACCCAGATGGGAAGCTGGCGCCACAGGTGGAGGATTAACCTACTGCACCACAGCACAGGCCCCCAACATGGCATATATTTTTAAATGTAGGATGATGGAACCAGAGATTAACTTGAAATCTCAAAAGGAGATGGTGGTGGTGGTGGCGCTGACAGTGACGGTGATGACAATGATGGTGGTGGTGGTGGTGATGGGATGTTGACAGTGGTGGCAATGATGGTGGTAGTGGTGGTGGTGGTGGTGGTAATGATGGTGGTGGTGGTGGTGGTGGTGGTAATGATGGTGGTAGTGGTGGTGGTGGTGGTGGTAATGATGGTGGTAGTGGTGGGGGTGGGGTGGTGGCAATGATGATGGTAGTGGTGGTGGTGGTGGTGGTGGTAATGATGGTGGTAGTGGTGGTGGTAATGATGGTGGTGGTGGTGGTGGTGGTGGTAATGATGGTGGTGGTGGTGGTGGTGGTGATGATGGTGGTAGTGGTGGGGGTGATGATGGTGGTGGTAATGATGGTGGTAGTGGTGGGGGTGGTGGTGGTGGCAATGATGGTGGTAGTGGTGGGGGTGATGATGGTGGTGGTAATGATGGTGGTGGTGGTGGTAGTAATGATGGTGGTAGTGGTGGGGGTGGGGTGGTGGCAATGATGGTGGTAGTGGTGGGGGGGTGGTGATGATGGTGGTGGTAATGATGGTGGTGGTGGGGGGGTGGTGGTGGTGGCAATGATGGTGGTAGTGGTGGGGGTGGTGGTGGTGGTAATGATGGTGGTAGTGGTGGTGGTGGTGGTGGTGATGATGGTGGTAGTGGTGGTGGTGGTGGTGGTGGTAATGATGGTGGTAGTGGTGGTGGTGGTGGTGGTGGTAATGATGGTGGTAGTGGTGGGGGTGGTGGTGGTGATGATGGTGGTAGTGGTGGTGGTGGTGGTGGTAGTGGTGGTGGGGGTGGTGGTAGTGGTGGTGGGGGTGGTGGTGGTGGTGGTGGTGGTAATGATGGTGGTGGTGGTGGTGGTGGTAATGATGGTGGTGGTAATGATGGTGGTGGTGGTGGTGGTGGTAATGATGGTGGTGGTGATGGGATGTTGACAGTGGTGGTAATGATGGTAGTGGTGGTGGTGGTGGTGGTGGTAATGATGGTGGTGGGGGTGGTGGGGATGGCAGTGATGGATGTGGGGTGGGTGGTGATATTCAGAGCGTAGCGAGCTCTCCCTGTGCCTGGCGCTGTGCTGCACCCTTAAGACTCTCTCTCTCCCTCTGTTAATTTTCTTTTTTTTTTTTTAAAGATTTACTTATTTATTTGAAAGTCAGAGTTACACAGAGAGAGAAGAGGTAGAGGTAGAGAAGTAGAGAGGTAGAGAGAGAGAGAGGTCTTCCATCTGCTGGTTCACTCCCCAATTGGCCGTAATAGTCGGTGCTGCGTCAATCTGAAGCCAGGAGCCAGGAGCTTCCTCCAGGTCCCCCACACGGGTGCAGGGGCCTGAGGACTTGGGTCACCTTCTACTGCTTTCCCAGGCCATAGCAGAGAGCTGTATCGGAAGAGGAGCAGCCGGGTCTTGAACTGGAGTCCACATGGGATGCTGGCGCTTCAGGCCAGGGTGTTAACCCACTGAGCCACAGCGCCAGCCCCTCCCTCTGCTAATTTTCAAAACTACCCTATGAGGCAAATGATATTTCTTTGATAGTCTTAAGAGGGAAATGATGCTCAGAGGCTAAATAATGGGCCCAGGGCACCTCACCTTGGAAGTGGTGAATCCAGGACTGTGACACAGGGATCTGAACTCCTGCCCGTCACACCACCTGCCCGTCACTGAGCAGGGAGAGTCAGAAACCCTCTGCCGGGCTGGTGGGAGCCAGGGCCTCTCAGGTTGCTCGGCCTCCTTCCTCCCCGACCTGCACCTGGCTGTGCCCTGCCCCACCCTGCAGGGTGACTGTGTTGGGACAGAGCGGCGGCCGCAGCCTGCGGCAGGCCGACCTTCACCTCCCCATCACGGACACTGCGGGCAGCTGAACCCCCTTCCCGCGGACTAACTGGCGCTTCAGCACCCTGCAGCGGAAGCTGAGACAGGTGCCGGGGGTTCTCACATGGAAAATCTGGTTGGAGATTTTGGCCGAGCTGCGGAAGTCCCAGGCGATGATGGTGCGGTCGGCGGAGTCCCGGGTCGACGCGTCTGTGCTGCTCAGGAACTCGGAGCCCTCCTGCAGGAAGAGGATGTCCAGGGTCTGCTGGACGGTCGCCTTGTAGCCTCGCACCACCTGCAAGAGCGGAGACCAGTCACCGCCAAGGGCCGCCCAGTGCCTGCTGGGAAAGGCTGTGCTGGCCACGTCCTCCAGCTGAGCAGCCCCGCGCCACCCCCACCCCCACCCTCCGCCAGGCTGATGTCCGTCCCTCCCGGAGCTGCCCTGAGATTCGGCGGTCTCAGGCCCGCCTCTCGGCCCCACACCAAGCCCCCTGCTCCAGCGGCACAGGGTCCGAGGGGTGTCATGCTTTCCCCAGCGAAGGCCGCCGGGGAGGGGCCGTGCCTTGCCCAGGGCACGCGACGGTCATGGTGAGAGCCGTCAACGCCAGGGCTCGCGCTGTGATACGGTCTTGTTCTGAACCTCACACAGCTCCCAGCTCCCGGTCTGCGCCCGTCGTCCCTGGAGGAGCGACAGCAGCACAGGGAGCAAGTGTTCTTGGAGACAGACCACAGCGCCAGGGTCACAACACCTATTTCAGCTTTGACGACTTTTTATTTTATTTTCTGAGCCTCCTGTCCCGTGACCCAGCACCGCCAGGCACCCAGCAGTATTCCGTCACACGGCACTCTGCTCTGAGAGACGGTGTGGGGGAGCGGCAGGTCCCGGCACCAGGACCACCGAGTCCTCCCACCTAACAAACGCAGAGTCCGCATGATGCTAAATTGCAACACCGAAGCAACGGGCAGGCTTCCTGCCGGCCACCCGCCTGCCCGCTGCTGGGGCGCCACCACCTGGCGACAGCACGGACAGTCTTGGGCCCGCGCCTTGGCTCTGCTGGCTATGAGCCGTCATGACAAATTTTAACAATAAAAATCGGCATTCACCTGTTTCAAATTTTGTGGCTGGTATTTTCTACCTCTTCTTCCAAGCGTTGGGGTCAAACCCACATGAAATGCATCAGCCCACAAGTGCAGCTCGGAGCAGGGCACGGGGCTGAGGCCCATTGTGCAGACGAGGTACACTGAGGGGCTGCAGAGCCAGGGCCCGCGGCAGCCTCTCCCCGCCCCAGCTGCCCACGTCCTGCCTCTGAATCCTTGGCAGAGGGCAGGGAACACGTGACTCATCCTCGCTCAGCCTTTCCAGGACTGCCCGTGGCGGGGCTGACTTCAGAGGGGCTGTGCTCTGCTGTGATGGTCCAGCCTCCTGGGGCCGAGGCTACAGCAGCAGACCAGGGCCTGGGAGGGGACACATCATCTCCATCCCAGCGCTTGCCCTGAGCTGGCATAACACCCAGCTCCCAAGAATGGGGGCAGGTGTGGCACGAGGTGAACCCACGTCTGGATCCCATATCAGAATGTCTAGGTTGAGCCCTGGCAACAGCCCCAACTTCAGCTTCTGCACGAGATGATGACCCAAGTACTTGGGTCCTGGCCACCCACGTGGGAGACCCAAATGGAATTCTGGGTTCCCAGCTTTGGCCCGGACAAGCTCTGGCTGTTGTGGGCATGTGGAAGGTGAACCAGTTGATGGAGGATCTCTCTCTCCCTCCCTCTCTCCCTCCCTCCCTCCATCCCTCTCTCTCTCTCTCTCTCTCTCTGCTCTGCCTTTCAAATAAATAAATAAAACTTACAAACAAGACACAACAAAAAAGCAGCCCCGCAGAGGCAGGGTCTGGAATCTACTCTGGTGGAAAGGGAGGTGGGGGGCAGAGGCCCCACCGTCTCGGGGGAGGGGTACTCCAGAGCCATCTCCACCTCCCCAGATCTGCCTGCTCCCCCAGCCCCAGCATGGGTCCGGTCTCACCTCACTTAAGCCCCCCTTCCCCGGGGACCCCCAGGATGCCCACTGCCCTCTGTCAAGTCAGAACTGGGCGCTTCTCTCCGTCATCACAGGGGGCGGGGAGTGCAGAGATCTGGGGCACCAAACGCCAAGAGAGCAGAAGACCTGGCCCAACACACGACGCTGGAGGCGGCCCCTGCACAGGGGTCCCAGCAGTCCATGGAGAAGCTGTGGGTGGGCTCCAGGTGTGCCTGGAGATCCCAGCTCCCTGAGGGGATCATGAGCCCCCGCCGCCTGGGCACCTTGGTGTCGGCAGGGCATGACCCAGGATAGAGGAAGGCTGGGGCCCTCGCACCATCACGTACCAGCCACTGGCTGGGGGCTCACAGAAGTGACCTCACGACCACAGCCCCAGAGGCAGCCTCTCCCAGAGAGATGTGCCATGCCCATGGCAGAACGACTGGGGTGCCCATCAGCACACCACCTGTCCCCCAAGACAACCTTCCCAAGGAGGGTGCAGACCGTCGTCTGCAACATTTTCTGAGATTGGACGGAAATGGCCCAGTTCATTAGGGCGTCATAAAAGTGAATGGCTGGGAAACAAGCCGTGCAATGGGCGACGGCTGCCGGTAACGGGGCTGTCGGTGGGAGGCTGGCCTTTGGAGTGATGGCTGCGAACATGATTTACTCACTGCCACAACTGCTCGTGCCCCGGGAAAGAGCAGGGGAGCCATGTGTGCGTCGAGCTGCTGGGTTTTATGGCAACCTTAATTACGCAACAGCTGGCACATCCATCCCAGGGGCGTGGGAGCGGGCGGCTGGGCCTCCCTAGCTGGGTCCTGACTCCCTAGCAGCTCCCTGACAGGCTGGCCAAGGCAGACCTGCAGGGGAGGGGGCTCCTAGCCCCGGGACAGCAGAAAGACTGACACTTCCAGGGGTTTGAGAACCACCTGCCGTCCCTAAAGTCTGCCCACCGCTCACTGCATGCAGGCAGCCCTGGGAGCTGTGGGCTGCAGCTGCTGTCAGTCAAAGGCTCGGCTGGCCCTCCCAGGCCCTCCAGTGCCCGCTCTCCTGCCCCCTACTGTGTGCGGCGGGGTCTGCGCGCTGTGGGCAGCAGCAACGGTGTCGAGCTACGCCTGGGCAGTAGCTACAGAAGCACACCCTGAGACTTGAGGCTCTAGAACCACTATCTGGTGGGCTTTGCTGGTGCGTTTATGGACAGAGCTGTCCAAGGGTAGAGGCGTAACAGGGTAGGATGGACTAGAAATTATTATCATCACTGATTTTAAGACTCTACAGGGGCCGGTGCCGTGGCGTAGCAGGTAAAGCCTCCGTCTGCAGTGCCGGCACCCTATATGGGCGCTGGTTCAAATCCAGGCTGCTCCACTTCCGATCCAGCTCTCTGCTATGGCCCGGGAAAGCAGTGGAAGATGGTCCAAGTCCTTGGGCCCCTGCACCCATGTGGGGGACCCAGAAGAAGCTCCTGGCTACGGATTGGTGCAGCTCCAGCCACTGTGGCCATCTGGGGAGTGAACCAGCAGATGGAAGACCTCTCTCTCTCTCTCTGCCTCTCCTCTCTCTGTGTAACTCTGGTTTTTAAATAAAATAAATAAATATTAAAAAAAAAAAGACTCTACAGAGCTGGGTGATTTGAGGGTGAAGAGACTGGGCTTGTTTGCTGAGGTTCCATGGGTGTGGATGCTTCAGTCACGTGGTCAGGCTGGACAGGTGAACAAACGGACAAAGGAACAAAAGAACAGTGACTGCAGGGCCTCTCTCCTGACCCCTGAGGCCAAGGCACCTCACGATGAGATGCTGCCACTTGGGCCCGGGGCCGCTGGGAGATACGGCCTTCACTGGTCTCTCCAAAGAGGGGCTGCTGGGGACCATGGTGGGCCTGGGGGGAGAGAGACGGACTGTGCTCAACACCGCATCACCCTGAGACGTCCAGAGGCTGGCAGGAGCCACTCCTGGCCCGGGACGTGCAAGGGTCAGGTGTCAGGCGGGAAGGCCGGGCCACACACCCGGGGATCCAGGCTTGAGGGCCTGTGCGGGCCACGTGACCAGGCTCACCGCCTCTCTGTAGTTTCCACGCATGTCGAGGACCTACAGCTCAGGAGGAACACGGGTGCTGTGGCCGGGCATGGGCGTGAGCGGTGAGCTCTCGGGCAGGTCCCTTCTCCCTGGGCGCAGGGCCACTTTCTGCAACTTAAATCACACAAGTCGAAGGAGCTGGCCACGCAGGACAGCGGCCCTGGGGCTGGCCCTGCAGACACAACCAAAGGGGGCCTAAACAGCTCTCCTGGCTGTGACTCCAAAGCCAGAAGCTGCGAAGAAAGACGCGCACGTTCCGCCACAGTTGTACCCGTCAGAAAACAAGTCAACACGTGGAGTAACGCAAACCTGGGAGAAATATTCGCGATTCATGCCTGCAACCGGGTGCCAAAGGGCAGCTCCACGGGCAACGGGCAGCTCAGAGCTCATGGAAGAGCAGGTGGTCCCGCACAGATTAAACTGTGCAGACCCCATTCCTTAGCTGTCTAGTTAGGCTATCAGCAGCTTGACAACACACTCTGAGGCAGCTGTGTGAGCATCAGGTGTCTTCGCGTCGCTGTCAGAAACGCCCAGTGGAACAACCCCGGGGGGTGGATCTGGGCACCTCGGAGCAAACGCACACACATCGCTGCTCGGCCACACACACACACGGCTCTTGAGGATCAATCCCAAGACAAGCACACAATGCCCCCGAAAGCAGCGCTACTTTTATTTTTTGATCATTTTTTAAAGACTTTATTTATTGGAAAGGCAGAGAGGGAGAGATAGAGAGATCTTCCATCTGCTGGTTCACTCTCCAAATGGCTGCAACGGCTAGAGCTGGACCAGGCCAAAGCCAGGAGCCAGGAACTCCATCTGGGTCTCCCACATGGGTGGCAGGGGCCCAAGTTCTTAGGTCATTCTCCACAGCTTTCCCAGGCTCATTAGCAGGGAGCTGGATCAGAAGCCGGGACAGGAACCAGCACCGGAATGGGCCTCTGCCATCGCAGGTGGCGGCTTAACCACTACACCACGACGCCAGCCGCAAGCAACACTACTTTTAAAGACAGAAAACTGGAAGCAGCACAATGTTCATCAAGACAGCACTGACCGAACGGCCCCACTCCGCAGCAGTACACAGCTGTAGCAGAGGGGAGGCACTTCTCCCTGCTTGGGGGGAGAGGGGTCCTCGGGGGAAACTGTTCAAGAGAAAACAAAGCGGGGGACAGGAAAAGCGTGTGGAAGACAAGGAGACGACCGGT